GGGGGGGGGTATGGATGGTGTGGGGAAGGAGTATCGGTGGTATGGTCATGACCATTGACATGTTGGGGCATGGGGGTGCAGTCATGGCCATCACCGCCTTGATCATCATTGTCATGGGCACGGTCATCTTGGTCATCATCACCATCATCGTCATCATCATCACACTCACAACCCCACAGGTGGCCCTGACGGAAGAGGCCGTGGCAGCATGGCAAAGCAAGAGCGTTCCGGCCCGGGCTGGCGAGGACGAGGCTGGAGAAGAGGCCGTGACCGCGCCGGATCATCCGGGTCGTCCGGAGCACCTGGAGGTTGTTGATCCGCGGCATGCCAAGAGCACAAAGAGCAGGATCGCCATGCTCCATGCCCTCGCCAACATCGAGGCCTGGGCCATCGACGTCTCGTGGGACATCATCGCCCGGTTTGCGGCCAAGCACCCCGAGCTGCCCGACGCGTTCTTTGACGACTGGGTCGCCGTCGCCGACGACGAGGCCCGGCACCACTCGCAGCTGGTAGCCAGGCTGGAGGAGCTCGGCTCGCACTTTGGCGCCCTCCCGGTCCACGAGGGCCTGTGGGAGACTGCCGAGACGACCGCAGACTCGCTTCTTGCCCGGCTGGCGGTGATGCATATGGTCCACGAGGCCCATGGGCTCGACGTCACACCCAAGACCATCGCCCGCTTTGCCTCGCAAGGCGACAAGACGTCGGCCGAGATGCTGCAGCACATCTACGAGGAGGAGATCACACACGTCGCCGCTGGCCTCCGCTGGTTCACCTGGCTCTGCGACCGTGACGGTCTCGACACTCTGCCGCTCTTCTACGACCTTGTGCGCGCCAACTTTGCCGGCTCCCTCAAGCCGCCTTTCAACACTGACGGCCGCGCCGCCGCCGGCATGACCGAGGAGTGGTATCTTCCGCTTGTCGAGCCGAAGAAACCCAAGAAGGCGGCGGCAGCTACTGAGGCGGCGGCGTAGAGTATGGCTCGCGGTGTGTGTTTGATCTCGGGTGCTGTCGGCTCAGTACCGGCGTCCATCGTACGGTGGCGGCGGTGGCTGCAGGTGCGGCAGGATGAGCGTCGGCCGATAGCGGTACCGCGGCGTGAGTGCCGGCGATGCAGGAGCTATCCGCCGCCCCGGCGATGCCCTGGGTACCCGAGTTGCAGTCACTTGCGCGCCGCGGGTGGCCACGTCTGGCACGTCGGGCGCCTCGGGCGTCACTGCGGAAACCACCCGGACCACCGTTCCGCCGAGATCGTCATCGTCAGACTCGTCCGACTCGTTTGAGTCTGCCACGTACGCCGCGGGAGCAGGCGTAGGCGCCGCAGCAGGCGCCGCAGTCTTGGTCTTGGTCTGGGTCTTGGACGACGGCGATGGCTTGTCGAGCACAACCCGGTACAACCAGCGTTGGACGTAGGGCCGGCGGAGGAGATCGCGGCAGGTCGGCCGGGAGGAAGGGTCTGACTGCAGCAGGTCGGCGACAATCTGGGCAAGCTTCGGCGAGTAGTGGTCCGGAATGCTCGGGAACGAACCCTTGAGGATGTTGGCAGAGAGCTGAACCATGTTGGCACCGCGGAAGGGCATGCGGAGGGCGAGGATCTGGTAGATGAGGCAGCCGAGCGCCCACATGTCAGCGGAGCCGTCGTACGGCTCGCCTTTGATCAGCTCCGGCGACATGTACAGCGGGGTGCCGGTCCGAGTACGCCGGCGCTCGAGCGTGTGGGCGAGGACCTTGGAGAGGCCAAAGTCGCCGAGCTTGACAGCGCCGTTCTTGTCGACAAACACGTTCTTGGACTTGAGGTCACGGTGCAGAATCTTGGCTTTGGAGTGCATGTGGTCAAGTGCGAGCAGGATCTGGCAGATCCAGGTCATGGCCTGCTTCTCGGAAAAGTACTTGCGTCGCTTGAGCTGTGCCTCGATGCGCTGGTGCAGGTCGCCGCCGGACGCGTACTCCATCACGATGTGGAGCTTGCCCGTTGTCGTATGCGAGCCCAAGTACCGCACAATAAACGGATGCTTGAGCTTGCGGAGAACCCGGACCTCGTTGCGCGCCTCCAGCCGCGCGTTGCCGGTCATCGCATCGACCTCCTTGATGACCACCATCTCGCTCCGTCCATCGCCGCGCGTCCGCTGCGCTAGCCGCGCCGTGCCAAAGGTCCCCGCCCCAAGCTCGCGGATGATGTTGTACTGTGCCAGCCCGGCGTCTAAGCCCTTGCGCTCCGCATCTTTCCCGCGCGCCTTGCGCACGGCCGTGAGCCGCGCGTTGGCCCGATCGCGAGCAAGCTCAGCTGCCCGGAGCGCGTCGGCCGCGTTACGCCGTGCCTTCCTCAGCCGATCGGCGTAGCCGCCATCTACCTTGCCTGCGTTATTGCGAAAGCCAAGCATGATTTCTTATCGATCAATCAAAGGTCACTGTAAATTGCAGGTGTGTTGAGCGCGACGATGTGTCTCTGCACTGGCCATTGCGCTCCGTTTTGTCGCCTCTCCGCATCACATCCATCAAGCCATGAGTGACAGGTCGGCCAAATGACTGACAGGTGCATCACACATAGCCAGACGATGGCGCTGGTTCAGAACGAGTGACATTGCCTGGACTTCGAGAGGCGTGCAATCGGTGGGACATTGTTTGAGCCGGCCGCATTGTAGCACTCTACGGGCGGTGATTGTTCGGCATGGCCTCTGTGCGTTTCACTGGTCCTGACGCGACGGCAGGCGTGAACGAACGGACCGGCTCAGTGTGGGTGAGAGCTCTGGGACAGCGGCGACAAGACAGGCTCGGACGGGCGCGACAACTCGACTTCAAGGCTAATAGTTGGGGACGCAATGATGCAGTGTGTGCACAATAACTGGAGCTGGTTGGTGGTTGCTCTTGTGGTTGTTGCCGTGATTGCTGGCGGTGCGCGTGGCGACGACTTGGGCGACTCGCAGGGTGACTGGTCGGCGGGAGCGAGCGAGGAACGGCGGGCGCTGCAAGTGGCTGTGGTCGGCGCTGGTGTGTCTGGCGGCTTTACTTCAAAGTTTGTGGCAGAGTGGGCGAGCAAGGTCGGGCGGGAGGTGGCGATCACGGTTTTTGAGGGCTCTGATAGGATCGGCGGGCGGACGGCCGACTTTGAGCTCGACGGCGTGCGGTACGAGATCGGTGCCGGCGTCTTCCATGGCGTCAACCGGTATGTGGCAGATGCTGTCAGGGAGGTTGGTCTGGCGACGGTGGACGCACCCGAGGGCACGCTCGGGGTGTGGGACGGGAGCGGGTGGCGTTTTCGCGAGTCGGTGTACTCGGTGGTGACGGCAGTCCGGGCGCTGTACGCCTGGGGCCTCTCGCCGATGAACCTTCGCGGTGAGACGGCCGAGGTTGTGGCCGCATTTCTGGATGTTTACGACCTTCAGGACGCCGGCCAGGGCTATGAGAGTGTGCCAGAGCTGCTGGAGGCGATCGGCCTGCTCCGACTGACGCAGCGGACCCTGCGCGAGTACTTGACCCAGGGGCGGCGCAAACTCACGGCGGCGTTTGTGGACGATCTTGTGGCGGCTGTGACAAGAGTGCAGTACGGCCAGTCCCCGGAGATTAACGCGCTTGCGGGTATGGTTGCGCTGGTGGGGGTGGAACCCGATCTGCACGCCGTGGCGACTGGCAACGCTGCGCTGCCGAAGGCGCTGCTGAACAAAGTGCAGGGTCTCGAGCTTCGGCTGCAGACTGCTGTGACGAGCATCGAAGCGGTCAACGATGATAGCGACGCGATGTGGGGCACGCGATACGTGATCAACGGCGAGCGGGGCACGCTGTACGATGCAGTGTTTGTGGCGACCCCGCTCGAGTTTGCGTCGTCGCTTGAGTTTACAGGCATTCCGCATGTGGATCTGGCGGTGATCCGGCCGGCAGGCTCGGGCATTCCACCGTCTTGGCGCGAGTTCCAGGTCACCCATGCCACATTTGTGGCGGGCAAGCTTGATGCGCGGTACTTTGGCGCGGCCGAGGCGGACGAGGAAGTGCCGTCGTTTGTGGGCACGGCCGAGGTCGACAGCCTCCCGTTCTCGTCGGTGGCGGTCAAGGGCTACTCGACGACGTATAGTGCACCAGTGCGCAAGATCTTTTCGCGGCAGGCGATGGAGCGCAGCGAGCTGGACAAGATGTTCCAGGCCGGGTACACAGTGCTCGGGGCATACCGGTGGCGGGCTTACCCCAAGCTGCGGCCGTCGCCAACGTGGGCGCGGTTCGAGATCGCGCCGCGGCTGTACTACATCAACGCTTTTGAGTCGGCTGTGTCGTGCATGGAGACTCAGGCCATCTCGGCCCGCAACGCCGCCAATCTCTTTGCAGCTGCTGTTGCTCGTGCCGACGCTGCCGCCGTCCCTCCTTTTGCCGACACCTCGATGCCTGCTCAACCTGTCGGGAGTCGCAATGGCAGCGACGACCACGATGCTTTCTTTGCGCGCCATGATGATCTCTGACAGCACATCACCTCATTGTGCACCACGACGATCTTGAGCGCCCTGCTTTGCGCGCGAGCACGGACAATGACATGCACTTCTAGCACACACACACACACACACACACACACACACATGCATGCATACATGTGTGTATGTACGTATGCATGTATGGTATGATCCCCCCTCCCATCGGGACCTTTGGTGGCTGGCAAGCAGGGATCTGCAGGTGAGCGGCGCGAGGCGATGACCAGAGCCGTGAGTCATGGACCCGTCAGGCCACACGTTGCCCCACCGACTCACCCACCACCCCCCCCCCACCATTCATACGCCCATACACCACACCCCCTAGGTGACGTCTAAGGAAGTATAGCATGGACTGGGTGCTTGTAGGTGCGCTGTGTCTGGCGGTTGTGGGCGTGGCGGCACTCCTGACGGTGTTCAAGGGACAGGTACGGGCATGATAGCCATGGCTCCCCCCTCACCCTTCCCTCCCCTCCCTTCTACATGCGGACAAGGCTCTGGGGGGACTCACAATCGCAGTGACGGTGGTCGTGTTGATGCTGTGATCATGGCTATGTGATGCCTTGATCATGGCTATGTGATGCCTTGATCATGGCTATGTGATGCCTCGATCATGGCTGTGTTGTGGTTGCGCCACGGCGGGGACGGGGGCTGGGTTGAGGGACAGACGAGGAAGGATGTGGCACCAGGTGATGAGCCCGAGGTGGAGGTGGCGCCCTCGGGGCTGTCGCGACAGGCCAGGAGAAGGGCGGAGAGAGAGGCTCGGAGGAGGAAGAAACGGGACGCCGGTGGGGATGGTCCTGGAGGGGCGACGGACGGTGGGGATGGCGATGACGGAGGGCTTCCCCGAGCAGGAGGCGGCGATGGGCCGGTGGTGGGAAGAAACCGCCGCGGAGCCAAGTACGAGGCCAAGCAGCGGATGAAGGAAGCGCGGAGGAAGGCGAGGGAGGCGCAGGCGGCCGAGGAGGCGCGAGCGGCCGAGGCCGACGAGCTGCTTGTGGGCGACGAGGGTGACGATGAGGCTGCTGCTGAAGCAGCACGCGTTGAGGCCGAGACTGAGAGGGCGGCGGTAGAGGCCGCCGAAAGAGCGGCAGCCGAGGCGGCGGCGTACGAGGCGATGAAGGCTGAGTTTGAGGTTGTCACCGAGGGCTCGCTCCTCGCCGACCTCGGCGCCGAAGGCGAGGATGTGAACACCGCATTCTGCAAGTACGTCAAGCGGCAAAAGGTGGTCGAGCTCGACGCGCTGGCGAGCAAGTTCCATCTGCGGACGCCCGAGGTGGTGGCGCGACTGCGTGCGCTCGAGGCTGACGGTCGGCTGATGGGCATCTTTGACGACCGTGGCAAGTACATCTACGTGACCATGAGCGAGCTCAAGGCGGTGGCGCGGCAAATCAACGGAGCCGGCCGCATCGGGCTCGATGAGCTCGCGGTTGTTGCCGGCTCACTGATCTCTGTGGAGAAAGCTAAGCGGAAGAAGCGACGGAAGCGCAAGGACGAGGCAGGGCCGTCAGCGACGTAAACGCGAGAGACGGGCACGACGCGCAGTAGTACAAAGACGAGTGAATGTGGTGTGGCGAGTGGCGCATTGTTTCTTTGTTTGTTTACGGAGTTCGCTTACTTGCCACCCTTCTTCTTCTTGGCGAGCTGCGCGGCACGCTCGGCCTTGCGCTTCGAGGCGCGCTCGGCAAGGAGATCAGCGTAAGCCTGGGCCTCGGCGACCTTCTTGGCGATGATCTGCTTCTTCTCATTGAGGCGGCGGCGCTTGCGCTCCAGACGGCGGGGCGTGACAAGACGCTGGATCTTCGGCGACTTGTAGAAGGTCTTGCCGTTCTTCTCGATGGCGCGGCGGACGACAAACTTGCGGACATCATCATCCTCGTCGAGGTCGAAGAGCTTGCGGATCTTGGTGACACGCTTCGGGCCAAGGCGGCGCGGGTGCGAGACGTCGGTAAGGCCGGGCAGGTCAGCCGGGCCGCGCTTGACGATGACCACGTTGATGACCGAGAGGTCCTGCTGGACGATGCAGCCGCGGACCGACTTGCGCTTGCGCTCGCCGGAGCGCTTGCTGCGGTAGCACGAGTCACCCTTGGAGAGAAGGATGCGGGTGCGGTGCGGGAGGAGGACACCCTGCTTCATCGGGAAGCCCTGCTTGTCGTTACCGCCAGTGATCTTGAACACGTAGCCGGCAAACTCCTCACCGAGCGGGTCGGCGGCAACCTCAGCCGAGATCCGCTTGTCCATGAAGTGGCGGACCTTGAGGTCGTCCTCAACATCGAGCAGCTTCTGGGCGCCGGTCGCCGGGTTCGCGATGTTAATCTGCGTCACGCGTCCATTACATACACATCTCCATGAGTCGCTGCCGCTTCCTCCCTCTTCGCCATGCCCACGCCCACCGCTCCGGTCGTCTCCCCGCCCAGAGCCCTGATGCCCATCCTACAAAATAATATGCTCCCCGCCCGGGGTGCGCTGCCCACGCCGCGTGGGCATGCATGCACACGCCACCGCAGCGGCGCGCTCGTCCACAGGCCGGTACACGTGTGGGGTGGTGGTCGGCTGTCGGGCAAGTCGCCGTGCTGGGCCATGGTGGTGGCGGCAAGCAGCGGCGAGCCGGGATGCAGGCAAAAAACGGAGGGCTCGGCGAGCTGGTGTAGGGGAGGTGTACACGGCGCTAGGGGGCCAGGACAGAGCCACCAGAGAGTACATGGCCAGCTAGGACCCTCGCACACACTGCCTGCTACTCTCCTGGTATGGTGGTGCTCTTCCCCTCGCAACCATTGGCTTTGCCGCCCAAGTCAATGTCCCCTCATACTGCGACGTACCTTCATCCTCGCGTCGAATTGTACAGAAGTGGCTGTCCCTCCCACCAAACGAGCTCGCGCGGAGACAATCTGTTTTTCACTTTGCCTTTCCAACCGAACGAACCGAACGAACCGAACGAACCGAACGAACCGAACGAACTGAACGAACCGAACGAACTGAACGAACCGAACGAACTTGTTGAACATTGATGGTAACCATGGCGTAATCGTTGCCTCAACGATTACTATCGTTGCCTCAACGATTACTGTTGATGCCCAGCCATCGGCAACAACCTTGCCCTTCACCGCCACCACCACCCCACTCTGCTTGGCCTCGGTTGAACAGCAAGGACAAGGGCGAGAGACAGCCGCAAGCACAGTCATCCATACTATGCTGCAGAGTCTGGTGCAAGTGGCAAGTGTGGCCCGTGCGAGGCGCCTGGCAGGGGCTGCTGCTGCCGGGGCACGTGGTGTGGCCGACGACGCGGCAAGCCAAGGACGGGCCGGACGAGGCGCAGAGGCGGAGTTTGACGGCGAGAGCACGTGGAGTGTCGAGACAGTGTACGGACAGAACGCGGCTGGAGGCACGTGGGCTGATGGCGATCGCGCGGATGCGGTGGCGGATCTGGCGAGGCTTGCCCGGCCGTCGTTGCTGGCTGCTGGCGAGCGCGATGCGCTGCTGGCGGCGCTGAGTAGCCTCGATGGGCTTGTGTCACGGGTGACGAGCCATGACGGGCGCGGTGAGGCCGGCGCAGCCGACGACGTTTTCATGCCTGTCCGCGATGGCGCGGCGCAGGCCGAGGCTGACGGCTACCGACTGGTGGAGCCCGAAGTGCTTGTGGGCGCGGCGAGCGAGCGCGAGGGCCGGTTCTTCGTGGTGCCGGGTGGCGATGGCAGCGAGGGCGAGAGTTAGAATGACCGGGCGGCCTGGAGTGCGTGCAGCAGGTCGTAGTGCAGGTATGCGCCGTAGACGACGCACAGATGGTGAAGCTGGTGACCGTGGCCGACAATGTCGAATGCGCCCGGCGCCAGCCGCTCCGGCAGGCGGAAGCCGTAGAGCAGGGCGCCGACGAGGAAGACACCGTACTCGAACGAGAGATGCTCGGCGATGAGAGTAGTAAGCGCGGTCGGTCCGGTAAGCAGGCGGAGATGGACGAGCGGAAGGGCGGTGAGCGCCGTGAGCGCCACAAAGGTAAAGGTGCGGATGAGGCGAAAGGCCGGGGTGCAGAAGCGCGGCATGGTGGAGAGGGCAGTGACGGCTGCGGCAAGGACGACGATCATGACAATGTACGTGGCCTTGAGGCGGGCAAAGTCAGCGAGGGCAAAGTGCGTGACAGCAGCCGAGGCGCCTGCGATAAAGGCGGCGATGCCGGCGTAGTCGAGGCACGAGACGGTGTGATTGACGCCCGGCGAGTGGCAGTGGAGGGCGTGCATGGTAGCTGAGCCGAGGAGGACGGCCTCGACGCCGACAAAGAAGGCAGCCCAGGCAAGGGCATCGGACCAGACGGCAGCTGGCGAGGCGATGGCGGCGAGGATGAGGAAGAGGAGCGCGCCGCCAGCGTGCGATGCCACATTGACGGTCTCGTTGTGGAGGCGGGCGAGCGAGGAGATGCAGCGTGGAATGGTGTTAGCATTGAGTCGGTAGCCCGTCAGAATGTACTCGTTGTTCCGCATGAACAGATCGGCGTCATCGACCTTGCCCACCGCCAGAAAGGAGGGATGCGGCAAGCCGAGGCTGACGACCACGGCCGCCGCCAGAGCTCCAGGCAGCCGGAGCAAGCTCTCACCCGCCACAGCCACAATCGATCGTTCGCTGCCATGTCTCGCAGACTCCTGCTTGCTCTCGCCTGTCCTCCCCATGCTCCTCTGCCTCTTCTTTGTCGGCTGAGTTGAGTGACTACGCCTTGCTGCCAATGGCTGCTGTAGGCGGTTGCTGCAGTTGAGTCGGTTGGGCGGGCGCGGTGTGGCGAGCGGGCGCTGGGCGACCCGCAACCTGGAGGCAAAGACAGAGAGACGCCGATGGGATGGGGATGACGATGAGGGGAGGGGGAGGACGAGGCTTTTGGGTTGTTGCTTTGTTTTGCTTTGGGCAATGCACCTTACTGGCGGAGCTGCCACACACGGACGACGTTGTCGGTGTAGCCGGCAAAGAGGGTGTTGCCGTCGGCGGACCAGGCGAGGGAGAGGACCGACGGGACCTTGGTGGTCTCGAGGTCAAGCTCGGGCTTGAGCTCGTCGACAAGCGACTTCGACTCGAGGTCCCAGATCTTGATGCCCTCGTCGGTGGCGGCGCAGAGCCAGTAGCGCTGCGGGGAGAAGCAGAGCGCGTTGATGGGGTTCTCGGCGTCGAGCTTGTAGAGGTGCTTGCCCTCGTTGAGGTCCCAGAGCATGGCGGTGCCGTCCTTGCCACCCGAGGCGCAGAGCGAGCCATCGGGCGAGACAGTCACGGTGTTGACCTGCGCGGTTGTCGACCGAGGTTGGTCTGCAGCTTGCAGTTGGTGAGGTTCCAGACCTTGACGACCTTGTCCCAGCCACCGGAGATGATGAGGGGCGTCTGCTGGTTCGGCGAGAAGCGCACGCACGAGACCCAGTCGGTGTGGGCGTCCGAGTCGGCAATGGTGTCTGTTGAAGGCGAGTGCGAACAAGCGGTCCATCAGCAGGAGAAGGAGGAGCCCAACGATAAAGAAAAGCAGCAGCCACGTGGAGAGCAGCACAAGCAGAAACAGGAGAGCAACCACGACCAGGCGGAAGGGGGGGGGGGGGGGCTCGAGGGTGATCTATAAAAACAAAACCACCCCCCCCTCCATCCCCCCCCCCCCTGCGGCTGAAAGCACAACATTTTTTTTTTTTTTTGTTTTTTTTTTATTTTTTTTTTTTA